TGTTGTTTAGAATGGACAAACTCGACCGCGATTTTTTTATTAACAGCTTCTTTCGCTTGTTTTCCCCCCTTGAGAAATCACGAGACAGCTATTTATCCCATCAATCCTAACGCAGTAAGTACAAAGATGGCGGGAATTGGCATAAGGTCTATTGTTGAAAAATTAACTGTATTTTGTTTGTTTTACTTCACTGATCATACTTTCTCAATTTCTCAGTTGCATGTCGAGCTTGTCTGCTTAAGGTATCGGCATGGAAAGCTAAAATGTTTTGCAAAAATACTGAAAATTGCCAAAAAATAAATGTAAATCACGTCCAAGTGAACGAACAAGGGAGCAGAATGTCCCGGGGGTACTCCCTTATATAAGCTATATAGGTATGTGCCGTCCAATCAGGTAGGGTCTTTGCGCCCTTTTGGTCTGAAAACGGATATACACTTTGCCCATTTTGTTCTGGAATCTGGTATGGTTTTCGAGGGAACTACGGGATTGTATGAACGTATTTATCGTTTCAATTCCAAATGAGTAAGGAAGAGAGAAAATATGTGAATTCGAAATGGATTTGAAGATTTTTTTTGTTTGGCCTGTAATCTTAGTAATGACAACATAATTTCTGCCTAAAGGCCAGGTCTGAAAACATTATGGAGTTTAGAGGTCTGGTCTGAAAACGGGTGTGGAAAATGACATTTTTTGGTCTGAAATAGGGTCAGGATTTGGAGAACCGGGCGGCACACCCCCACCAAGAATTCCCAGGAGTACTCCCCCCCCGCGGGGACAGAATGTGCTCTATACTGTATAGTCTTAGGTGTTAATAGCTCGCACAGGTCGTTTTTCCAAATAAAACTTATATCAAAGGTAGACATATACGTATTCGACGAGGCCGAATTAAAATAATTCAATTGATAAAAGAAGAAATAGCTACTTATAGATTCTTCCACGGAATTAATCAACTTTTGATAAAGGGCAAAATACTATAAACACTGTGTAGGTCTTAAGTATAGCAATAAAATTAATAGTTTTATAAATAGTTATTTAACTGAAGTTCAATCAAGAATCCGTAAACTTAAGCGTAGCGGAAACACGTGACACCGTTGCAGAAACACAGCGGCAAATTCGGTTAAGCAACTCTATCGTCGACGTCATTGTCTAGGTCATTTTTTCCTTTGCCACATGCCAGTAAACGAAGCCAATGTCCTCTGTCGAGTAACCAGCTAAAGCGGATGTTTGGTTATGATCTTTTCAATTGCTGCATTCAGATCCTTCCCTCAGCAGACACAAGACAAAAAGACAAACGGCATGTTTAACTTTTAATGCACAACGTCCCTGGCCATCGATGATTTAAATTTAAAAACTCCCAGTACCGCAATATAAGGTGACGTTCCACGTCCTGTATCCTGAAGTACCGGCAAATTTTAAATTTTGGCCCGCAATTAAAACAATGGAAAAAACGACAAAGGAACTTTTAACCAGGGTGAAAGAGTCGATTTCACGAAGATTTGCAAACTAACATAGCTTATGATAAATCCTAAATTTTTGTCAGCTTCAGATCACAAAACTAATGTATCTTACCCAAAAATAGTAATTTCAAAACTAAACAAGAAGATATTCGGCAATACATTTTTTATTGACAGTATGAATGCCAAACATTGTGAAAGGCGATGTTTACGTCCATTGAAAAACTAAGAATGACCTTTCAAACGGGGGTAGCCTGAGATATAGGTAGTGCTTCTGATTGGTCTTACCGCTTGGGAAATTTGATTAAACCAATCAGAAGCACTACCCAGACCCAGATCTGGGTAGTGACGCGTCATCAGTATGGAAAAAGTTCTGCGCTCGTTTCTCAGATGTCATTTAGCGGGGAAACCAGTGGTAGCGTCGCCCTGAATGTCATCTGTTTTCTCAGGCTAAAACGTCTTTCAAAATGTAGCTTACGGTACTGATAAGTTAAGTCCCGGGGGGTACTCAACGAAGTTTTATACAGGGGGGCTCCGGCAAAGACCCTTTTATATGTCTTAAATACTATTTTTTATACCTTGACAAATGGTTCCCCTTTCACATACCTAGTTTAGAACTTTGCATCCATTTAAACTGTTGTAAATGAACTGTCTGTAAAATATGAATATATCCCGCAAAACCAGAAAGTGTTCTCCTTTTTACAGACCGAAATGACAGTTTCCCAACCCTTTCATATACTTCAACTAGTGAAATCTCTAAATTCATTCATGCTCATGTACCTGAACCCTGGCGGAGCCTCCCCGTAGGGAGTAAGCTCCCCCTTTGGGACTTGACAATGGTACATGTAACAGTTTTCAAAATACAAATCAAAATTCAAAGGAGCTCAATAAAACGCCTTAAACCCAGCCGGAATTAACGAGCCTGTTTTGCTACAAGAAACAAAAGAAACGAATAATTCACTGTCAAGGTGAAATCTGGTCAAGCAAACTTGATTAGATTCCATAAACGGACTGATGCGCCATTGCTGTTGCCAGTGTAATAAGGAGTAAAAATCGCACATTTCCGTTCCCAGAGCACTTGTTACAAATAAAGCAGAGCGGCACTGGCGTAAGAATGCACACAAAGCAAATTTCAGGAAGATTTTATCCAAACAAAAGAATGATCTGATTCTGAGTAGTTTCAGTTGAAATTAACCACATATTATGCATACTACAATTGAAAGACTAAAGGTAATCGATTCAATAATAGAATATGTGTTGGTAGGCTTTATCAAGTTTGAATGTAATGCTTAACGACAATGATCTATATTGGTAAATTATACAAAAAAACCCAACCTGTTTATTAAGTAATGATTTACAAAGGTATTGCGAATTAACTCCAGTCGCCGTTTCAAAAATGCTTATCAAGTTTATGAGCACAAAAACAAATTAAAAGAAACCCTCTATGGGAGAAATGCCAAACTAAGCCTTCTATTTTGTTAGCGTAACTTATTACGGAGTATATACACGCTTTTAATAAGTCTGGGCTCCATCTTGAATTTTTAATTTATGACGTCATTCGCGGAAAGACTTCAACCGCTATCTTTGACTTTTGACTAGCCTGACAAGCCATGTCAGGACGAGAGGCAAAGTCAGGCCATTATGAATCGCTTTATTCCATTCTTTTCCTGTATAAATATTAACGAATACCAGCGAACCCTTTTCCCAGGATAAAGTAATCGCAGTTGTGCGGTTCGTCTTTGCAAGGCATACGGGGATATTATGTTCGATAACAAACGCGACAGAAAGAAATGTGAGATAAGATTCCAAGCGATCAGCATGTATTAAAAGCTAGCATGGCTGCAGCGAATTAAAAGAGAGGAGTACTCGACCGTAAAAGTGTGTAACTTAGTCTTTTTGTGAGTGGGTTCTAATTCGTACCGCTATATTCGTCTCTCAAATATTCGGCTTTTTTGTTAGGGGCAGAAACATACAATCGGGTGTGTCATAAAAGGTGTGTCAGAAGTGGCAATTGGGAATTCAGGAAAGGAGCAATCAACAGCTCTAGGTCTTGGCAAATTGGAATAGTTGTCATAACACTGAAGTTTGCCTCCATTAGAGAGAGATGTTTAACTCACTACCCGTGTGTCCAATTAATTTAGTTGAAACTATTGCGGGACAGTTAATTGTCTTAAATGAAAGAACTAATTTGCCCTCTCTTTATGTTGGACAGCATGTTGTCTGGCTGCATACAAGGGACACCTTAAATCCTCATTTCTTCCTTAGCATTTCTCCCTGTAATAAGGATTGACGACATTATATGCCCTGTATGCATTATATGAATTAGGGTTCGTACCCTAGGTCCTTGGTTTGTGCTACTGTTTTGAGTTGTGCACATTCCAGTTCTTGGGAATGCAGCCGTGAATTCAAACACTTATATAATAAAAAAATGTGATTACAGTAACCATTTCCTCCTGCTGCACAAGAGTATTTATCACAACTGTTAACATTGTGAGGCCTTTCATTCTTCCTCCGTGGTTTAAAGCATTCCCTTCTACATGAATTTATTGTCCATATAAGCCTACAATAATCGTAGTGACAGTCATTTTCAAATAAAAATTTGTATCCCGTTTAGAGGGTGCTTTTGATTTTTTCTTTGCTTGTTCAACAGTGTAAATGTAAGTAAAGTGCTTTGGAAGAATTGATGCATCCCTGCTCCAGCTCTCTTTAGTGACTACATCTCTAACGAGGAGTCGAGCTAATAGCTTTCTGGATTACTGAGCTACGCCTTTCCAGAGTGAAAAATTATTCTGTGCAAGGATCGACTGGAGTATAAACGTTTTTATCCAACTTCTTTCTCATTCTAAAACCTATACATAATAACATAAAAAAACTGATGATGACTGGAAAAACATAAACTTTCTATCGAGATAGAATTATCGTACATTTTAGAAGGATCAGAATAGCAACATGAAAAATCCTTTCCATTGGCTTTTATTAATGCCTGATAGATAATCTAAGTCTCCTACGAGCGGTAATAATTAATCGTTTTTAGCTTTTTTAATAAAGGTCCGCATAAAAAATGAAAAAGTATCAAAACCATTGCTAAAAAAGATTACCTGGGAAGAAGTTAAGCTCTTGTCTGTTGACGTAAGCCACGACCATTAAGCCAAAACTTTAATTCGCCTTTTTTTTTTATGCATTTATATCAGCTCTCGTTTCCCCCCGATTCATCGATCCCGCAACATCTTTGCACGAAGGCTTTAAAGTTACGATAACATACCCATAAAGACATTGTATAAAGAAAATATTCCTCTTGATATAAAGTAAAAACGTTCCTCTTTATATGAACACACTGCAAAATCAACGTCAACAGGGCTTTCATCTTTGGAAGCTATTTTGGCCACGTGTATGATCTTTCCGCGAATGACGTCATTCAAGATGGAGCCCAGACTTATTAAAAGCGTTTATAGTGGGTCGAAAAATACTGTACAAAACGATGTCCATGTAGTATAAGAGTGTTTTCAAAAGCAAAATAACCTTTACCTTCAAGGAAATTTATTCGTATCCTTACAATTCTAATGTGACGTCATCACCGATGAGCACAAACGGTGCCCAGTACTTTACTACACCAAATTCGTCAGATTCTCTCATGCAGTTCATTGCTTGGTTTAAGGCTTCACTGGCACTCTTTCCTGTCACAAGAAATTGATAGAAATTTTTCATAAACTCAAGAGTGGCATTGTCATCAATCGCCCACAACGACACCAGAACAGAACGTGCACCAGCGCCCAAAAATGCCCGTGCTATGCCAACCACGCCTTCTGCTTTTATCTCTCCTTGAGCACTATGACAACAGCTGAGTACAACCAGTCTCGCACGCATTTTAACACGAAGTACATCTCTCATTGTCAAAATGAAATCCATCTTAGCATCATCTGGCGCCAAGGCAATTTCGCCCGTTTCCATGCTGCCATGTGCAGCGATGTGAACCAAAGCAACCGAACCGATTCGTCTTAATACCGCATCCTTTGTGGCTTGTCTTCCAACAAGAGGTGTACAACCAAGCATTTCACCAATCATCTCTACTTCCTCTTTGGCATATGGCAACTGCTCTCGCTCTGTCACTTCTTGCACCCATGGGTCACCAACAAGAAGCACGCCAGACTTACAGTGATAATCTACCGGACAATCCCCAATCATTTTCAAGCTGGTGAGAGATGGAATCAAGCGAATTCTGAATGAGGCACAGAGGTGTTCGGAGTTTGGACACTTTAATGCAGCAAAGGGAGCCAAGCAAAGTGGGCCTTCAGGCACGAATATGAGTTCATTTCCCGAAAACAGATCTTTAATAGGATCAATGATGATGTCGTATAGTGTATTCAAGGCACTTTCACCCATATCATCGACAAGAGACTGTAAATAAGTGCTAGTGTCATACTGGGAACTGACTTCCTTTCTTCTTAATTTAACCTCCTTCCAGTTCTGACAAACCCAAAAGACTAATTCGTTTTCTACAATTGCCATAAATATGGTATTGGGAGGAAAGGATCTGTGATCTTCACTAGATTCAATATCATTCATTTCAAATCCATAATTAAATACCATAAGATCTCTTAGACCCTGTGCCCGAACCTTCTCCGCAGACACCAAAGCCTCAGTAAACTTGCCTTCTCTTAACATCAAGCGCCAAAGTGCAGCGTATATTCTCTGGTATCGATCACGAAAGCTTATTTTCAACTTGTCGTCAAATTGAAGACGATCTCTGATATTATTTAACAAAGTAATACTGCTCTGATAGTATCCCTTAGCCATTGGAACTTGACCTAGATATTCATAAAATGTACCAGAATTCCAACACGCTTTCGCCTCTCCTAATGTGTCACTCAATTCTTTCGCAATGTCTAGGTGATGTTCATAATGATGTATGGCTGTTTCAAAATCTCCCAGACTTTCGAAGGTGCATCCAAGATTTCCATGCGCATTTCCTTCTCCCGATCTGTCACCCAGTTCTTTCGCAAATTTCAAATGACGTTTATGGTAGTCTAGGGCTGTTTTCAAGTCTCCCAGTCTGTAATGGACGTTACCAAGATTGCAATATGCCGCTCCTTTTCCCGACGTTTCATCCAATTCTTCCGCAATTTTTAGAGCACGTTCATGGTAGTCTAAAGCTGTTTTAAAATCTTGCAGATTGTAATAGACGTTTCCAAGACTTCCATACGCATTTCCTTCTTCCGATTTGTCACCCAGTTCTTTCGCAATTTTAAGATCACCTTCATAGTAGTCTATGGCTGCTTTAAATTCTCCCAGACTGCGATAAACGTTGCCAAGATTGCCATACGCCTTTCCTACCCCCGATGTGTCACCCAATTCTTTGGCAATTTTTAGTAGTCGTTTATAGTAGTCTGTGGCTGTTTTAAAATCTCCCATATGGTAATGGGTGTTGCCAAGATTTCCATACGCCACTCCTTCCTCCATTGTGTCACTCAATTCTTTCGCGATTTTTAGTTGTTGTTCATAGTAGTCTTTGGCTGTTTTAAAATCTCCCAGACTGACAACAGCGTTGCCAAGAGCGCCATACGCCACTCCTTCTCCCGACGTGTCACCCAATTCTTTCGCAATTTTTAGTTGTTGTTCATGGTAGTCTTTGGCTGTTTTAAAATCTCCCAGACTGACAACAGCGTTGCCAAGAGCGCCATACGCCACTCCTTCTCCCGACGTGTCACCCAATTCTTTCGCAATTTTTAGTTGTTGTTCATGGTAGTCTTTGGCTGTTTTAAAATCTCCCAGACTAACAAGAACGTTGCCAAGAGCGCCATACGCCACTCCTTCTCTCGATCTGTCACCCAGTTCTCTCGCAATTTTGAGATGCCGTTCATGGTAGTCTAAGGCTGTTTTAAAATCTCCCAGTCTGTAATGGACATTCCCAAGATCACCATACGCCGCTCCTTCTCTCGACCTGTCACCCAGTTCTTTCGCAATTTCCAGACACCGTTCATAGAAGTTTATGGCTGTTTTGAATTCTCCCAGTCTGTGATAGGCGTCACCAAGATTGCCATATGCCTCTCCCTCTCTCCACCTGACACCCAATTCTTTCAAGATTTCTGAATGACGTTTATAGCAGTGTATGGCTATTTTAAAATTTTTGAGACTGTTATGAGCAACGGCCAAGTTGCAATACGCCCTTCCTTCTCCCGATCTGTCACCCAGTTGTGTGGAAAGTTTTAGAGAAAGTTTAAAAAAGTCAATGGATTTTTTAAAATCTCCCAGATTGCGATAGGCGATGCCAAGATTGTTATACGCCTCTCCTTCTCCCAATCTGTCCCCTAGTTCTTTTACAATTTTAAGATCACGTTCATGGTAGTCTATGGCTTTTCTAAAATCTCCCAAACTGTCAAAGGCGCATCCAAGATTGCTATACGCTTTTGCTTCTAGCGATCTGTCTCCCAAGTTTTCAGCAATTTTTAGACTTTGTTTATGGTAGTCTATAGCTTTTTGAAAATCCCCCATACTGTTATGGGCGTTGCCAAGATTGCAATACGCTACTCCTTTTCCCAAAGTGTCATCCAATTCTTCCGCAACTTCTAGACAACGTTCATGGTAGTCCATAGCTGTTTTAAAACTTCCCAGCTTGTGATACGCGTTTCCGAGATTTCCATACGCCTTTCCTTCTCCCGATCTGTCGCACAATTCTTTTGTAATTTTTAGATTACTTTCATGGTAGTCTATGGCTGTTTTAAAATCTCCTGTATCGTGATAGACATTGCCAAGATTGCAATACGCCTTTCCTTCACCCGATGTGTCACCCAATTCTTTCGCAATTTTTAGATGTCGTTCATGGTAGTCTACGGCTGTTTTAAAATCTCCTTTTTTGCGATGGATGATGCCCAGATTGCAATACGCCTTTCCTTCTTCCGTTCTGTTACCCAACTGCTTCGCAATTTTTAGGTGACGTTCATAGTTGTCTATGGCTTCAAAATCTCTCAAACTGTGAGAGACGTTGTAAAGATCATTGCCATACGCCTTTCCTTCTCCTGACCTGTTCTCAAAGTTGTCAATTTTACCAAAAGTGCCAAGGTCGCCTACTGTGTATGTCGCCTTCGTGCAATTTTTCTGTGAAATAAATAACGTACATTATTTATGACATATTTTACATTACATTTTCATCATCTGGAAATATATCATTCCGTAAAGAGGGGTGAAGCGTTCCAAAAAGTATAGTATCGAGAAAGTCTTTAATTTCGAAATTTTTCTTTTAAAGAACAAATACGACAGAAGTTTGGAGAAACTGAAAATCATTTAGGACAATTCAAATATTTGTTTATTTTCTGTAGGTGTTGTAATTGGTCTTATCATGATCTAACACATGCAGTGGATTGTTCATTGTTATCGATTCCAACCTCAGGACTCGATTCTTAACAGTAGACACAGGCGAACAGAGCTATTAGCTAAAACATTTAACAACAGGCAAGGTCACAAATAACTCCTCCACTCCCTGTGACCTAAGCAGTCCTTTCGGCACATACTGACTGCATATTTCAACTATAAGTACTTTCCTTTAAATACGCGCGAGCTATTTTCTCTTCTCTGCTTATCTCTTTTGCTTTGCTCAGGCCGGTTGTTTTGTTATTTCAGCAAAATTACAAAATTTAGGGTGGTCCATAGGGTAGGCTGTAAGCTAGGCTAGCCAGCGATTTGTATACACCCACCCGTATGGGGGCAAGCTACGCAAACAGATCGAACAGAGATGGATCAGCACCTCCTTTAATATTATTTGCTAAAGGAGGGTATATGCTTCTCTAGCCTACTGTATCGATACTGTACAGTAAGATGTGACCTCCAAGTTAACATCTCTGAAAAGCATATTCAAAAACGCGGAAATAACGCACTCCAAGCCCTTTCTCCATCACTCTCACCTGTTCTCCGTAATTATCTACGTTCAGCTTCTTTTGTTCTCTCATGGACCTATCCAGAAAATCCAACAGCTTCTGGTTATTCTGGTCGATCTTGTACAAGTTCAATTGTCAAGAAACTTAAAAACAACCTGCCAAGTTTCTGCCCTTGAAATAAATTATCTAGAGTCTCCCTTAGTTTCCTTGGAGATATAAACCCATGAGTGTATTGCAAAGTACGTGCTGTGTATTAACGACCAAATATTTAATTAAAACTGCTCCACTTCACTGCACGTTTACACCTCACTTTTTTTTAGTGAGAAGGATAGATTGCAAAGGCTTATAGGTCTGCTTTGTACAAGGCACCTATTGATGTATTTAGTCTTAAATGCATGTGAGTCTGCACTAGAAATATTTTCAACAGTGAATAGAAGAAAAATGAAGAAGGTTTGTGAAGAAATGATCTCTAAATCGACTTCCTCTGTAAACTTCAGTAAAAGATACTTCTAATCCTTTTTCACACCACGTGATGGCTTCGCTGAATAGTTTCAACTGAACGCAGGCACTTGCCCCTGTTAAGAAAAAAAGCTCAGGATAAAACACATTTGGGCTGTAAATGCTATTCAGATATAAGCTAAAGTTTGGTGTCAATCGTGGGAATATTGAACAAGATCAACTTAAAAATTTATAAGAGATATATGGATTGCTGGATGTCCATATATTTTTTACGAAATTTTGAAATGTTGCTAACCTCAATGTGCTCTTTCTGACTATGTGGAATTTGTGTTGTTTATCGCGTTAAAAACGGACTCGTACACACACCACTATCGGTTTGAAATTAGGCAATAAGTAAACCTGGGAAGAATGAGATTGGTGCGCGAAAACACACACAAAAAAACAATAGTCTAGTTATCGTAACCCACTCCAGAGCAAGATAATTCTCTATAAGAATTTCGTGGTAAATAAATCTGAAAAGTCCAACATTACTGAGGTCTACTGAGAGAAAACACATTTGTTGTCATGGTAACTGAAAACATCAATTGCCATTTTCACATGCGTCCCAGAAGGGTTATCCGTTGAGTAATTCGCTTCAGACAAACAATCTGTCTTAATGTGAAAACGGAACGGCTTTAATTTTGACGAATAATCTGTCTGACTTAAATTGTCTGTTTATCCGTCTCTAGAGTGAAAACGGCTGTTAACAGCCCCTAATCTGAGCGCAGTTTGTCTTGCGTTATTTTGAATCATAAACGTTTATTTTAGGAAAGATGTTGGTGAGTTTTGCTAGTTATACACAAGCAAATCAGTAATCGCAGTCAGGATCGATTGGCCCATAGTCGACATACCTCGCACAAAAGCCTTTACAAACGATGGTTGTACGTCTATGGCAGTTTTGGCATCATTCAGTGTTTCAGTGTAATTCTCTGAGGAAAAATAAATTACACACCCAAAAACACAGTTTAAGTTGACACTTTCATATAATTCTTAATTGTTGTACTGTATCTTTTGAACTTTTTGTCACTTAGAAGCAGCCTCGTCCCCAGGGCTTTTCCCATTAAAAATAGGTGGGGCGCCCCACCCATTTTTAAGGGAAAAGCCCTAGGGACGAGGTTGACTTAGTAGTACTTTAAATTAGACATTGCATTCCTTAGTATCGTGACCTGTCATTATTTGTTCTCGCGTTGTGTGTGCAGTGGCTGCTCCCAAATCTTCTGCTATTGGTAAAAAAATTTCATAAAGCCGAAACCAATATTGTGGAATTGCACGCATTTAGCCTGGGATCCCACTAATAGGCCATTTTACAGTTGTGGATGGAAGCGAGGCTGAGGGTGACCTTGTTTTGATACAAACCCTCTCTGCTTTGTTATGGAAATTGTTCTCGAAAAATACTAGTTTGCATAAGAATAACTTGATTGACATAATAAAGCAGGAAGGTTTGTATCAAAACAAGGTCACCCTCAGCCACGCTTCCATCTACAACTGTAAAATGGCCTATTCACCATTTCTATATACACTATAATGCACCTTTTTACCCGCCCGCCCCCCCCCCCAAAAAAAAAATAGAAAAGAAAATCTTGCATAACTATTCTCTTCGCTTTTTCTTGGGACGACTGTAATACCCACGAGAAATTGGAAACAATAGACATTCAAGATTTTGGAGGTAAACAATGTGCATTATCGTCTATGTGAAAAATAGTGAATGAACAGCTACTGCAACGGCTGACGCTTTCAGTGATTGTTGATAATTGTTCTTATATACAGAACCACTACTTAAAAAGATCTTTAGTGAGTTAAAGGTAAATATAACATCACGATAACTAACTACAATGGCAACTTCTTCCTCAAATTAAAATGCGCTGCCGCCCTGTTACTGTACAGTTTGGCAGTCAGTTCTTTATCCTTGCAGTTCACTTTAATTCCGTCTGTGTAGTAGCTAATGGCGCTGCTGTAATTCTTCTTGTTGTACTCCTCGTTACCCTCATTCTTGTAAACCTCTGCAATTGCTAATGCAGCAAATTAAAATTTTTTCAGTGATTTTACAAGGCGTTTTTGCGAAAACCAATGTGATCATCATTTGCTCTTGTTTGGCCTACTCTAAGCCGGGGTTTTATATCAGGGACTACACATGAAAAAAATGTACTTGTGAATGGGTAAGGTCTTCCCTTTAACCGAATTCAAGTTTTCAACTGTTGAAACCATACTATGGAATGAAAAAAGCATTTTTTTTTTCTTTTTACCTCGTAAAGTGTCTGCATCAAACAGGAGTGTTCCTGCATCAGTAGATGTGACATCATCTACCTCTGGACTTTTCTCCATGAATGCTTTTAAGACAAGTGTAAGGTTTCCCTTTCCGATGAGCTACTGTGCCCTGAGAAGAGAAATAGAGGGTTGCGTCAACTTGTATTTTGTAAGATATATTCATTACACGATTCTCCCTATCTACGTTTTTATCACAGCCAAAGACTTTAAAACAGCATCCCTCCTTATAATTGGGGTAATTTGAGCGCTGGCCACTATCGTGTCTTACTGAGAAAATCTTAGCTGATAGCTAGCCAACCGAATCCAATATCATCTACTTATCTGCAAGTACTAGTATTCTTTTATCCATAGTGTACTTTTCTGGGTCACAGATGACAGAAAAAAAATGTGGTAAGAACAAAAAAAGTGGCACACAAGCCACAGGCGAGTGTGTTACTAATTCGTGTCTTGACTGCGCTTTTGTGAACAATGGCTGAACAGAGACAAGGATACGTTTGATGGAGAAACAACAAACTTGTTTCGTAGCGCTCGACAATTAGTATTATTATTCATTCCAAATATTTCGCCGTTTCTGATTGGCTCCAATCTCCCGGCTAATTCTTTATTAGCAACAGGCGCATACCATATTTGGAAGATGCGAGCAATATACCATCGATTCGATGGTAAATTTGGTTGGAAACGAGGCTGCTTGGGTAAAATTGAGCTAAAAAACTGGCGTTTACGGCTATTTGAAGACAAAATAAAATGGTTGTACTTCTGGAATGAATGGAAAAAATAAAAAAAATACGCAAAACATATTGCTCGATGGATTTTATCTACCTTTTTTTTAGAAGTAAACGTGTTTATATTCTGAAACCAGGCAGAGAAAAGGGCCAAAGTTTTGAAGAACTACTACGAGGAGGTAACATAACATATAACATAACATAACTACTTTATTCAAGTGTCGATGACTTTAGCTTATAAAAGCTAATTGGGGACACTAAAATAATAGAAAAAATATACATATACAATGAGTTTATACATGGTATCATTGGGTAAATTTATAATTTTCTAAAATCTAAAATTTATAAAAAGTTAAAAGTTAAAAGATTTCGGAGTTACCCCCACTAAAATATACAGAAAAATGCTAAAAATATTTCTAAAAATTCTCAAGAACTACAAATAAGACAAGAGCCACAATTGCCACTTATAAGATCCACGAGGTTAATACGCCGTATGCTCGACTTAAAGGATTGTAAGGTAGGTTTGTCCTTGATTTTGCTGTCCAATCTAGACCATACCATATATATGGTCCAAAGTACCTTAAAAAATGTCGCTCGTAACGTACACTATTAAATCTGGCCTGGGTAAATGAAAATCCATATTTCTTAAGTGATATTTGGATGACTTAACACTAAAAATGTTAACGACATTACTAGATACCAAACCATGTTTAACTTTATACATTAAGGTAGCAAGATCTTAATTGAAAACGCCTATTTAGTAGGCTAGGCAGATTGGGTCCGTGCACACTTCGGCCACACTTACTTATCCTTATCATATTTGCATATTTCAAAGTACAGAAAAAAAAAGAGGAAAAAAGAAAATGGTCAGGAAAATCGATCATTTTTTCACTTTCTAATATTGAAGTTAAATTTAAAAATACAAAAAATACTGTTAACGGCTAAAAGCGATATTTTGCTATTTTCATTTTCTTGATATTGTTAGAAAAGTGAGAAAAAAAAAATAATCTCTGAGTCCTACATCATTTTTCTATTTTTCCGTTTTTCCCAAAAACTAGAAAGCAGGAAAATGAAAAAATGATATTTATTCGAACTATTTTTTCATTTTTTCCATTTTGTTCAAAAAATGAAAAAATAGAAAAATGGCATACCTATCGCCTAATTTTCCATAATTCCATTTTAACAAGAAAAATGAAAAAAATGACAAGTGTTGCGAATAATTTTTCCATTTTTTCAATAAATACAAAACAAACAAACAAACAAAAACGGATAATTTTTCGTCTTTTGTTTTAATGAAAAATACCAAAGAAAAATGACAAATCATGAACATTTACCAACAAAGAAAAGAAAAACCTAATCCACTTTAGACTCACTAGTTTTGTTAAACGATTTACACAGGGTCGGCGGAGACGTGTGATGGGAAGGGTGGGTGGGGGTGCTTTAGTTCTCGGAATGCGATAGTAGTTTCATTCACGTTTGGATTTGATTAGCTGATTCCTTTACCTCATTACTTAGGACTCTCGCTGTGACCCGTTCTAACACTGCGTCACCATAAAGTGTTCCTGTTCCATTCAAACTGTAGAATGTTTCTCCATACTTGTCGCATGGGTTTCCCGACATTAGCGATCTTTGCTCTCGTCTTTCCAGGGCTGAGTTGCTTAAAAGGTGGATAACGCTATCCGCTGGATAAATAACTATCCAGTAGATAACGCAATTGGTTTCCATAAAATACATAAAAAATTATCAGGCCGCTGGATAGTGATTTATCCGGTGGATAGTCGCTATCCAACGTTTAATCAAATGTATGAGCAAATGTATGGGGCCAGATCATTAAGATGTTCTCTCCCGCGAGTGTATACTAGCCGCCTCGTTATGTTTCTCCTCCATAATATTAATTCAATATACTTTACTCTTACAATCCTAAAACACCCGTTCTGCGGCAAGATCCGTTATTTCGGAAGGCTAAGCAGTCTACTTTTAATTTGAGCATCTATTTCATTTAAAAGCGTCTGACCCTCTTCACTGGCGTGCTCTTTATTTATTTTGCGCATGTGACCTTCTTCTTAACTCCTTCCCCTTAATCTCTCTCACGAACCGCTTTTTTTGTGCTCAGGGACCATACTGTTGCTGGCATGAAAACCGTTGAGTTACCAGCCCCTTTTCCCGTACCAATTTTCACGCCTTCTCCTCCTCCCTCGTACCCTTTCTAATGTTCTTCATTTCCACGGCCGTTACGTTACGGTTTTCCTGCCGCTTTCATCCACAGTCGACTCCCGACAACTCAAACCTTCAGGGAAATCGAGATCAAAAGTGAATGGAACTACGTCCGCTTCTCGAAAACTAAGCCCAAACCCCCACCCCAATTCCCCCACATCTCCGCCGACCCTGGGTAAATCTTCTAACCAAATCAGTGCGTCGGTAGTGGATACGAATTAGGTTTTTCTTTTCTTCACCGTTAAAATATCCATAACTTCTCACTTTTCTGCGCCATTTTTCAATAAAATAAAAAATGAAAAACTGTCTAAAAGGGTGTATCGTTTTAAACGTTTACTATTTATTAAAAAATGGGAAAATAGAAAATTGCTCGCAACACTTGTCATTTTTTTCATTTTTCTTATTAAAATGGAATTATGGAAAATTGGGCGATAAGTATGCTTTTTTCCTATTTTTTCATTTTTTGAACAAAATGGAAAAAATGGAAAAAATGGTGGGAATAAATATGATTTTTTTCATTTTTCCGTTTTTCTATTTTTGGCGAAAAACGGAAAAATAGAAAAATGAGTTAGGAATTGGACATTATTTCATTTTTCTCATTTTCTAACAATGGAAAGAAAATAAAAAATAGCAAAATATCGCTTTTAGCCGTTTACAGTATTTTTTGTATTTTTGAAGCGGACTTCAAAATTAAGCTAAATTAGAAAAATGAAAAAAATGATCAATTTTCCTGACCATTTTCTTTTTTTCTATTTTTGGCTGTACTTTAAAATATGTAAATATGACAAGGATAAGTAATATTTCCATTTTCCGTTTTTGTTGGAAAAATGGAAAATTAGATTGGCCGAAGTGTGCACGGACCCCACACAGGGTACTGGTACGAGTGCCGAATGAGCATTCATCAGGGGCAGAAAAGTCAATTTTGGTGTCCTAGAGCCATTCGCATTATTTTAGGAAATAGTATCTCGTGAAATCAAAATAAGGCCTGGTTCAGACGCCATAGTTCACATGACCCAAATCGAATTTAAGTTCATGTGAAGTGCGGCGGCGTCTGAATCAATTCGAAAGGGCTGATATTTTGAATTTGAATTGGCTCATCCATTCTTACTCGTTCTTCACGCCTGGTTCAGCTGGGAATAACAGCTTTGGACTGGCGTTGATTTAGACGCCGAACTTCACATGACCCGAACCAAACGCATAAATGTGTATAATGTATTTTAAAAACATTTGAATTTTCCCCTTTTGAATTTCGTTCGGCTGGAATAATGATCGGCGTCTGAATCGATTCCTCCGGCTTAAATTCGATTCAGTTTTATGTGAGGTACCACGTCTGAACGGGACTTAAACGTGGCAACCTTCTGATACTTTAATGCGACATTCCTTAAAACATTTGGCTTTCTGGTTTTTTCAGTAGAAACTACACTTCAGGAAATTTTACGACGAAAGCTCGATCGTATGTATCCTACCTTAGTTAGTTAGATGTTCGCAAAGTGCATGCACAGGTACGTTACGTCTTTTGAAACTGGTTGAACAATATAAATCTTAGTTTACTGAAAAGAACTGACAGTATCAAACATTCGATCTGCTGGAAACTGAAAATCAGTAACTGATAGCATGAAGGTAGTAAATGATTAGGGATTTTCCCCATTTCCGTGAAAAAAGTAAACCGAATGTTTATACTAATGAAACACGGAAAATTGGTTATAGCAAATAGAAAACTGGGAATTCGAAAGTTGGAAACTAAATGATAAATGCAGAACAAAATGTGTCCTCTTGCGTTCATCAAAACTTTTGTTGAAAGTTTCTGCCCCAAAATATAAGGAAGGGGATTTTCAGGCTTTACCCTTCAGAAAACTTATTGCCAAATTTTATCTGATAAGTGGTGCACCAGTTGTGTGGTACGAAATTAGTATTAGATAGCACTAAAATGCGAAGTCAAATATTCAGTTGATCAGTCATTATGTGTTTGAAGTTTGTTACATGAGTAGAAGACCATAATACATTACAATGACTAGGTTAAGGATAGACTAAGGTACAGTATAATAATACAAAGATAACTTCGTTTGCTAAGACAAATAATATCTAGTTTTGTGAATAACGGCCGTACGATCGCAGAACGCAAAATCATTCTTCTCAGTGCTGAGTAAATCAAGTTTGTTTTCAGTTCGCCCTGTGCAAATGACCGTTATGCTCTCCAACACTCTAATCACTAAACTTCAAAGTCAGTTCATTCGGCGTTCGGTGGCCCCTCGCATTCTGAGAAATACCCCTGCTGTATGAATCATTTCTAATGACTTCAAGCAGTTTCGGTCGAAGGAACAAAACATGGAAAATCATCACGGTACGCGCTTAATATATTTATAGCCAGGTAATTAAATATACTTATAGCCAGATAGCTTTTCGCGGCCAAAAATCAACATTTTAGTATAAGAAACACGAAAAAATGGTTCTTTCCAAAAGAGCTCTTTTACAAACGTTAAATTTACAGGCCCTCGATATTTTAACATCCTAAAATGTGGTAAAATTCACTGTGTCAACAAAGTACGAAACGCTTTTTTCTTTGCGAGGGTAGGAGTTGACGGAAAGCTTAGATGTAGCTGTAGATACAATAAAGCTTGATAGTAACTTCGAGAAAAGTGTAACATATCACTTTGAACTTAAAAAGACACGCTTTCGTTGTTTTTGTAAGAGCGTCTAGAAAATACCTAATTTGCCATAATTTTCATGCCTTCGGGCAGACTCTCCGCAACTGATGTTATTTTTTTAGATCTTTCGAAAGCTTTTGACTCGGTGCCACATGAACGCCTTTTGACAAAGATACACGCAAATGTATCCAAGGTCCACTCCTGTCTTGGCTTAGAAGCTTTCTTACCAATCGATACCAGGGCGTCGTCCTGCGCGGACATGACTCCTCTTGGACTTCCTTGTTGTCTGGTTTACCCCAAGTAGCCTTGTTGTGACCTATTTTATTCCTCATTTATATCAATGATATCTCAAGAAATATTATGTCAGACACAAAACTCTTTGCAAATGATATGAAGGTGTATAGGTTACTCGGGGATACTAAGGAAGATGCGGAAGAGTTACAGAAAGATCTTTCTTACCTGGAATCTTGGAGCAATGACTGGCAACTGAAATTTAACACTGATATATGCGAAGTGATGCGCATTTCTAAAAAGAAAGATTACTTAAGCGCTCAATATCATCTATGTGGTAACCAGTTGAAAACTGTATCTGAAATTAAGGATCTTGGAATTTACATTACTTCGAACCTGTCATGGAGTATATAACCCAACAAATGCGCAAATAAGGCAAACAGTGTACTTGGATTCATAAGACGAACAGTGGGTCCTAAAGATCCTGAGTTGTTTGCAAAACATTATTATAAGAGTCTAGTACGTCCGATACTCGAGTATGTACTGTTCTCCAGTTTGGTGTCCGCACCTTAAATAAAGACTCAAATAACTTCGAGAAAGTACAACGTACAGCATCCAAATTTTCCCTTGGAAATATTGGGCGAGACATGTCCTACGAAGAACGTCTAGAGTTCCTTAAATGGCCAACACTTCAACAAAGAAGATTATTTTCGTCGCTTACCGAGTGTTATAAGACAATAAACAGACTTAATGGCTTAGATCCCTCAGCTTTATTTTACGTTTGCACATGATTTTCGGCCCTTAAGAGCTAATCACTGTTTTAAACTTAAGATTGCATCCTCAACTTTAAATAGTTTTAAACATTCCTTTTTTTATACGCATAATCGACAAGTGGAATAATCTACCAAAGGAAATTGCTGAGGCGGAAAATTTAAACAATTTTAAGAACAGACTGAGATGTCATCTTGCAAATTTTTCTAGTGAATTACGACTAAGTTCTCCAAACGTGTGTTATATTACATATTTTATATTTAGTACTTTATCGAAACAAACCAAATTGTTGACAAAAAGCCCTTATTCTGTATTTGGTAATTGAAAATGAATTTTTAAAGCCAAATCAGTTTCTTTATTTAGAAATACCCAGATTCTTACCTTACAATTGCTCTAAGAAGGCCTCAGATTAGCAGAATAAACACCTTGATTTAGCAAAACAAAGGTGAATTTTTTTTCTTTGAAAACCTGTTACCCAACAGAGAACTCAAATGATAATGTTCTGACCTAGATATAACGATCTTTTTACAAGATGCTTGACTTTTTCTTTGATTTACTACTATATTCAGTTTCACTTCATATTTGCATTACTTCAAGGATGGAAAGTCTCCATATTTTGTCAGGCCTGATTGTTTATATTTCTACAAGATAAAGTAAGCTTAACGAAAATGTTCGTTAACACAAAATCTTTCGTCTGAGCTTTTAACAGCCTGAATAGTCTACATGGAATAAAGGTATGGCTATACATGCATAAGTACAAACATACGGGATTCGAACCCTTGACCAACCCTTTTTGAGGCTTTCTTATAAGTTCGCAACTGCATAAGTTGCACATATAACTGCGATGATCTTCCTTCAAATAATTCGACTGATCATTGTTTCACAGACCCACGTAGTCTCAAGGTTAATTAATATGTCCTTTGATTTTCTCATATCTAAGTTGCTCTACTTAGTTCGTACATAGTTCTTAACCAACGACGTACATGAAGCTAGGTGAAACCATTCTTTCCGTTCGAGGACATCAGAAGATTATTGAAGTTGTAATTATCATGCCGATAAAAATTACTAGGAACAGTGCCAAATTTATCGAAACTAAGTCTATTCAAAAAAGCTTGTAAATAATATAAGCTTTCATACCGTGAATAACAGATTCACACTTCGCCTTCATTACATTTTACTTTGTACAATAAAGTCAAAGTTTAGACTGAACGATCCAAGCGAAGAAGCACGACTATTGCTGTTTGCGCTGTCAAAAAAAGCACTAATCCACCCGCAAATCTTTTTTTCCAATCCACAAGAAAGTGGTAAAAAGATGCAAATACGATAGCGTACAGAACGTGCACTGTATGATGTATGAGATTATTGAAAATTTCCGTTTTCGTCGACCGTCCACTCAAAAACGAAAGTTTTCAAAATACTTGTGGACGGGGCATTAGTTCCACTTGGCACTTAATAATAGTGTACACCTTCTTCATTTTCAAGCTTTTCTGTTGAAATAACTAGAAAGACGAAGAGCGTTGCCATTTAACAACCACTGGGCCCTTAGGAGTAAAAGATAAACTTCAAATTTCCGTATGGCAATGTAGGCGATGTGTGAGCCCCACGATAACCGAAACAAGACAAATCATACTGACATAGAAATGTTCAAATAACTGAAAGACAACGTTTACATATATTTGAATAGTTCCGATCTAATTAGAGCAACTATTCCTTTTTAACAGGTGATAAAAGCACGGATATTCCAGGTGTATTTTTTTTCCTTTCCCTGTCGGTCTCAGACCCCTCTTGATCATTTTCGTAAAGTATTAAAATTAAGGTAGTCTTGGGAAAGAATGCTGCCCCCGTCCCCTTCTTTTCTCGTCCAAAACACGGAAAAAACACCGGGCAACTAAAATAAAACAAAAGTACAATAGACTCTATTCAAAAATTTTTGAAAATCTGGTCCACCTATGATACTAGGGGCTCCTCTTCTCGATTTCAATTGCCTTTTCCCAAAACCAATTATGGCAAAAAACGTTTTGGCTATAGGGGCCCATCCATTTGGGATAAATTACCCGTGGATTTGCGTGAATGCAAGTCAATGAACTTATCTAAATCTAAACTACACCGCTTGCTTCCCAGCTTCTTTAATTCCTTACTATAATCCTAGTTTAGAATATTTTATCAAAAGTTAATACCTAGTTTTACATGTATATGTTTTTTTTTTTCACAACTAATACTAACTCCGACACTCTGACAGATATATACATTTTTTAACGCGGCTTTTATGTAACCAGCTTGAGCTGATAAAACTACCGTGATATACCGGCCATAATTTTAGGGGGCAAACAACAGATAAAATTTGCTAATGCGAGTAATCGCAGTCGAGTTTCGGGTTTATTTTCTCAAAACGAGACGATGATTTTAGTCTTGCAAAATGTACAGTTTGACTTTCCACAAGTTCTACTTCATTTATTGCTTGCTGTGAGGACATCTACTATGATCACTTCCACCCATAATTTGCCATTATCGTCTTTAAGATAAATGTTCTTCATTTTCTGTTCTTTAGAATGGACAAACTCGACCGCGGTTTTTTGTATTAACAGCTTCTTTCACTTGTTTACCCCCCTGAGAAATCACGAGATAGCTATTTATCCCAACAATCCTAACGCAGTAAGTACAAAGATGGTGGCAATTGGAATAAAGTCTATTGTTGAAAAATGAACAGTATTTTGTTTGTTTTACTTCACTGATCATACTTTCTCAATTTCTCAGTTGCATGTCGAGCTTGTCTGCTTAACTTGAGGTATCTGCATGGTAAGCTAAGATGTTTTGCAAAAATACTGAAAATTGCCAAAAATAAATGTAAATCACGTCCAGTTGAACGAACAAGGGAGCAGAATGTCCCGGGGGGTACTCCCTTATATAAGCTATATAGGTATGTGCCGCCCCATCAGGTAGGGTTTTTGCGCCCTTTTGGTCTGAAAACGGGTGTACATTTTGCCCGAATCTGGTATGGTTTTCGAGGGAACCACGGGATTGTATGAACGTATTTATCGTTTCAATTCCAAATGAGTAAGAAAGAGAGAAAATATGTGAATTCGAAATGGATTTGAAGAATTTTTTTGTTTGCGCTCTACAACATAATTTCTGCCTAAGGGCCAGGTCTGAAATCGGGTATGGATTTTAGAGGTCTGGTCTGAAAATTACAATTTTTAGTCTGAAATAGGGTCAGGATTTGAAGAACCGAGCGGCACACCCCTCCAAGAATTCCCAGGAGTACCCCCCGGGGGTAGAATGTGCTCTATACTCTATAGTCTGAGATGGTAATAGCTCGCACAGGTCGTTTATTCAAATAAAACTTATATCAAAGGTAGACATATATGTATTAGACGAGGCGGAATTAAAATAATTGATAAAAGAATAAATAGCTATTTACAGATTCTTCCACGGAATTAATCAACTTTTGATAAAGGGCAAAAAATTATTAACATACTGTCTAAGTCTTAAGTATAGCAATAAAATTAATAGTTTTATAGATAGTTATTTAACTGACGTTCAATCAAGAATCCGTAAACTTAAGCGTAGCGGAAACACGTGACACCGTTGCAGAAACACAGCGGCAAATTCGGTTAAGCAACTCCATTGTCGATTTCACAATATAGGGAAACACGTCATTTTTTCCTTTGCCACATGAAAAGTAAACGAAGCCAATGCCCTCTGTCGAGTAACCAGCTAAAGGGGATGTTTGGTTATGATCTTTTCAATTGCTGTATTCAGATCTTTTCCCGGGTCTTTTCCTCAGCAACTACAAGACAAAAAGACAAACGGCATGTTTACCTTTTAATGCTCAACGTCTCTGGCCATCGATGATCTAAATTTAAATACTCCGTGTACTCCAATATAAGGTGACGTTCCACGTCCTGTATCCTGAAGCACCGGCAAATTTTAAAGTTTGGCCCGTAATTAAAACAATGAAAAACAACTACAAAGGAACTTTTAACCGGGGTGAAAGAGTCGATTTCACGAAGATTTTCAAACTAAGATAGCTTATGATAAATCTTAAATGTTTAACAGCTTCAGATTACAAAACTAATATATCTTACCCCAAAATAGTAATTTCAAAACTAAACAAGACGATATTCGACAATACATTTTTTACTGACCATATGAATGCCAAACATTGTGAAAGGCGATGTTTGCGTTCATTAAAAAACTAAGAATGACCTTTCAAACGGGGGTAGCTTGAGATCTGGGTAGTGCTTCTGATTGGTTGTACCGCGTGGAAAGTTTGATTTTGATCATTTTAATGTTAAAAGGCGCTATATTAACTGAATTATTATTTAACAAATCAGAAGCACTACCCAGACCCAGATCCGGCTAGTGACGAGTCATCAATATGGAATTTCTGCACTCGTTCCTCAGACGTCATTTGGCGGGGAAACCAGTGGTAGCGTCGCCCTGAATGTCGGCTGTTTTCTCAGGCTAAAACGTCTTTCAAAATATAGCTTACGGAACTGATATGTAAAGTCCCGGAGGGTATTCAACGAAAATTTATACAGGGAGGCTCCGCCCAAAGGTACAGCCCCTGAGCCTTTTATATGTCTTAAATACCATATTTTATACCTTGACAAATGGTCCCCCTTTCACATACCAAGTTTAGAACTTTGCATCTATTTAAACTGCTGTAAATGAACTGTCTTTAAAAAATATGAATATATCCCGCATAATCAGAAGGTGTTCTCTTTTTTCACAGCCATAAATTACATCTGTTAGCCATTTTGGGCCTTTTTACAGACCGAAATAACAGATTTCCCAACCCTTTCATGTACTTCAACTAGTGAAATCCCTAACTTCGTTTAAGCTCATGTACCTGAATCTTAAAAAAGGTATTCCTTCCTGGCGGAGCCTCCCCGTAAAGGTCATTATAGGGAGTAAGCTCCCCCACGGAACTTGACTCAATTAAAAGGAGCTCAATAAAACGCCTTAAACCTAGCCGGAGTGTATGAGCCTGTTTTGCTACAAGAAACAAAAGAAACGAATAATTCACTGTCAAGGTAAAATCTTGTCAAGCAAACTTGATTAGATTCCATAGACGGATTGATTAGTCATTGCTGTTGCCAGTGTAATGAGGAGTAAAAATCGCACATTTCCGTTCCCAGAGCACTTGTTACAAATAAAGCCGAGCGGCACTGGCGTGAGAATGCACACAAAGCACGACAAATTTCAGGAAGATTTTATCCAAACAAAAGAATGATCTGATTCTGAGTAGTTTCAGTTTGAAATTAACCACATATTATGCATACTGCAATGGAAAGACTAAAGGTAATCGATTCAATAATAGAATATGTGTTGGTACGCTTTATCAAGTTTGAATATAGTGCTTAACGACAATGATCTATATTGGTAAATTATAAAAAAAAAACTAACCTGTTTTTTAAGTAATGATTTACAAAGGTAATGCGAATTAACTCCAGTCGCCGTTTCAAAAATGCTTATCAAGTTTATGAGCACAAAAACAAATTTAAAAAATAAACTCTCTATGATAGAAATGCCAAACATAAGCCTTCTATTTTGTTAGCGTAACGTATTACGGAGTTATAGTGGGTGGAAAAATACTGTACAAAACGCTGTCCGTGTAGTATACGAGTGTTTTCAAAAACAAAATAACCTTTACCTTTAAGGAAATTTATTTGTATCCTGACAATTCTAATGTGACGTCATCGCCAATGAGCACAAACGGTGCCCAGTACTTGACTACACCAAATTCCTCAGATTCTCTCATGCAGTTCATTGCTTGGTTTAAGGCTTCACTAACACTTTTTCCTTTCACAAGAAGTTGATAGAAATTTTTCATAAACTCAAGAGTGGCCTTGTCGTCAATCGCCCATAACGACACCAGAACAGAACGAGCACCAGCACCCAAAAATGCCCTTGCTATGCCAACTACACCGTCTGCTTTGATTTCTCCTTGAGCACTATGACAACAGCTGAGTACAACCAGTTTCGCACGCATTTTAACACGCAGTACATCCCTCATTGTCAAAATGAAATCCATCTTAGCATCATCTGGCGCCAAGGCAATTTCGCCTGTGTCCATGCAGCCGTGTGCAGCAATGTGGACCAAAGCAACCGAACCGATTCGTCTTAATACCGCATACTTTGTGGCTTGTCTTCCAATAAGAGGCGTACAACCAAGCATTTCACCAATCATCTCTACTTCCTCTTTGGCAAATGGCAACTGCTTTAGCTCTGCTACTTCTTGCACCCACGGGTCACCAACAAGAAGCACGCCGGACTTACAGTGGTGATCTACCGGACAATCCCCAATTATTTTCAAGCTGGTGAGAGATGGAATCAGGCGAATTCTGAATGATTCACAGAGGTGTTTGGAATTTGGACCCTTGAATGCAGCAAAAGGAGCCAAGAAAAGCGGACCTTCCGGGACGAATATCAGTTCACTTCCCACAACTAAGAGATTTTGAATAGGTCCAATGATAATATCATACAATGTACTCAAAGCATCTTTTTGAAGGTGTACGTGATGGCTTTTCCTACCATCACGAGTCGAACTTTTAGCAGCCAGTCTTGCATCACTCGCCAATTTGAGCGAGCGATCTTCGCATTCCACAAAATCTTGCGCACCAGTTTCCTGACCCATTATGTTTACAAGAGACGCAAAGAAAGCGCTGACTTCATCTTGCGAACTGATTTGCCGTCTTCTTATTTGAAACTCTTTACCTTGCTGACAAACCCAGAAAACTAATTCGTCCTTTCCAAACGCCATAAATATTGTATTCAGAGGAATGCAACTGGATAGTTCTTGAAACGTACTGTTTTCTGGACCTGATTCAGGATCATTCACGTGTAAACCGTAACTGAATGCCATGAGGTCTTTTAGACCTTGTGCCCGTCCTTGCTCTGCAGAAAGCAAAGCCTCTGAAACTTTGTTATCGGCCAACAACAGACGCCAAAGTGCAGCGTATGTTGTCTGGTATTGATCGCGTAAGCTAATTTTCCAGTCGTCGTTCAACTGAAGACGATCTCTGACTTTATTCAACAAGGTGATACTGCGTTGATAGTATCCGATAGCCTGTGAAACTTGGCCTTTATATTCAAAGTCACCACCAAGATTCGAACACGCTATTCCCTCTCCCAAAGTATCTCCCAGTTCTTTTGAAATTTTCAGTTGACTTTCATGGTAGGATATGGCTGTTTCAAAATCTCTGAGTTGGCAATGGGCGTTGCCAAGATTACAATACGCCTTTCCTTCTTCCGCTTTGTCACCCAATTCTTTTGAAATTTTCAGTTGCCGCCTATGATAGTCAATGGCTGTTTTAAAATCTCCCAGACTGTAATGGATGTTGCCAAGATTGCCATAAGCCGATCCCTCTCCCGATTTTTCACCCAGTTCTTTCACAATTTTTAGGTTATGCGCAAAGTGGGGTATAGCTGTTTCAAATTCTTTCAACCTTGAATAGGCGCTGCCAAGATTACAATGTGCCTTCCCTTCTCCCGATCTGTCACCCACTTCCTTCGCAATTTTCAGGCGACGGTTAAGATAGTTTATGGCTGTTTTAAAATCTCCTAACATTTGATAGTCGACGCCAAGATTGCCATACGTCAGTCCTTCTTCTGATCGGTGGCCCATATCTTTCGCGATCTTCAGGTGACGTTCATGGTATTCTATGGCTGTTTTAAAATCTCCCAAACTGCGGTGGGCACTGCCTAGACCGGCATACGCTCTACCTTCTCCAGATCTGTCACCCAGTTCTTTAGAAATTTTCAAATGACGTTCATGGTAGTCTATGGCTGTTTTAAAATCGCACAGACTGCGGTAAGCGTTGCCTAGGTTGCCGTAAGCATTTCCTTCTCCCGATGTGTCACCCAGTTCTTTTGCAATTTTCAGGTGAAGTTCATGGAAGTCTACGGCTGTCTTAAAATCTCCCAGACAAAAATGGGCAATGCCAAGATTGCTATACGCCCCTCCCTCTCCCATCTTGTCTCCCAGTTCTATTGCAATTTTCAGGTGACGTTCATGGTAGTCTATAGCTATCTTGAAATCTCCCACACTTTGATGGGTGTTGCCAAGATTGCAATACACGAGTCCTTCTTTCGATCTGTCTCCCCTCATTTTTGTAATTTTGAGCATATATTCAAGTTCAATAAAGTCTAGGGCTCTTTTAAAGTCTCCGATATTCTGAAAGATGGCCTTCTTTCTTTCTTCTGGCGAACTGTTACAAATTTCTTTTTTCAAAATTTCTGTTCGCCGTTTAAGGTAGTCTGGGCCTGAACCAAAATCTCTCAGACTATCACTGTGAGCGCTTTCAGCGTTGCCATGTGCTTTTCCATTTCCCAATCTGTCCTCAAAGTTGTCAATTTTATTACGGGTGCTTCTGTCGCCAGCTGTGTGTGTCCCTTTCGTGCAAGTTTTCTGAAAAATAACATATGGAATCATATGTTAAATGACGGTTGCTTGATTTTCAATTTTTAAATGTTTCTTCTGGGAATAATCATATAATATATATTCTACGTTTTTTTCTCGGGAAAGTTATTTTGTAAAAGCAATAGAAAACTTTTTTCCCGTGTTTGCATAGCCTGATATAAACACTCGAGGCGTTGGGAGAATTCTCGACAGTTATGCAATCCCTCGACTTCGTCTCGGGTTTGCATAACTGTCTCGAATTCTCCCAACCCCTCTCGTCGTGTTTATATCAGGTTATGCAAACACGGAAAACGTTTTCTATTGCTTAAATATATACATAGAAAGGCGGGCCTGATTGATCAAGGGATTTCCCATTCCTCTAAAAGTAATAATTTAACTACAAGCAAAAATTATACTTTAGATCTCCTTTCAATTATAATTCTGGCGAAACTACTGAGGATTTAAGAAAGAGCTCATGCCTTTTTACTGAGTGTAGCGGTATATGACTTGATTTCACTAAAAGGTGGCCCAAGAAAATGCTCCAACATCTTTGTTTACCATGTTTTTGTTTATTATTTTTACTTTTTCCTGCCAAATATTCACTAAGCAGCTGCAAGAGATGGACTCTAATGAGTTTATTGGCTAACTTAGTTTCAGAATTTACGCCCCCTTACCCCCAATTTTCGCCACACCAGTTTCTCTTAGAAGTTTTTTTGGTGGCCTCGAGCAAGGTTTTTTGGCCTTTCTTTCTGGCCTTTGTTTAAGATTTGACATGTCTTATAAGGTGTTTTATGCTCGTATTTTTCTCCTTTCTTTTAGTAATGTAGGTGTATTTTAAATTTTTCTTTTGGCCATTGGCGAAGCACCTTTCCCGTTATCATACGATAAAAGTGTCTTTCTTTGTAGACCTTGTGCGAGCTATGTAGTCTCCTTTGCTCCTCGCCCGGACGCGGCTGCTTCAAACTGACGTACATTCCTTTCCCAAGATACAGCCAATCACAGCGCAGCTTCATTTTCTTGCGAAAATGCAAGCTGCAAAATGCAATGCTTCGGAAAATCCAACGAAGCGCATAAAGAAGCGAGACCTTGCGTAGTTAAATCCTTACCTCTTCTTCTTGATTATCTTCCATATTCTTCTGATCTCTCTCAGCTGTGTTTCTTAATTCCAACAACCGCTCGTTATTCGGGTCGATCTCAGTATTAGTTAAATTTTTTCAATAATTCACATTAAATATGCTGGCAAACTACAAAGCTACTATACTTTAAAATAAATTGTCATAAGCACTTACTGACACAAAAAGCAAAGACCTAATAATGATCAATTATAAATGTTGATCTGAAAAGGAGTATACTGTGCATTCTCTTGCTTGAGCCGGCCTCACACCAGAAAGAGAGAACTTCTGTACTCACAGGCAAACGATCAATATTAGTTTTAGACTTGCATATGGTTCTACACAAGAGACACTTCTAAAGTTTAGGGAAAAATAATAAAGAATGTTTGTAGGGAGAATAACTTTATCTCTAATTGGAAATTTCAATGCTAGCTTTAGTAAAGGATACTGCTAATCCTTTATCACACCACGTGATGGCTTCGTTAAACTTATTCAAATGAACGCAGGCACTTGCTCCTGCAGAGGAAAAATGTACACCTGAGCTGCAATGTAGGTAAGTGTGACTAAATATATGAATTTGAATATGACTATCGCAGTAGAATGAACAATCTAAGTGGTCAAAAAAACTGAAAAAAATTCAGGCTTGACTGGAAATGGAATCCAATGCGATGACCGGATGCAAACTGTTGTTATTGAACTAATCAAGCCAACTGGAGAGAAGGCCATTTTGAATTTCTTGATATACCCAATCGTGGAAATGAAAATGACTTTGAACATATGAAACAACATATATTTGAGAATTGCGTATAAAGATGTTTAAGTGAATATGATCTTCGCATTGAGGAATTATCAAGTAAGGAAAGAAATATTGGCAATGGATCTACAGTTGACCTACCTCGCCCAAAAGCTTTCAAAAAGGATGGTTGTAAGTAGACGGCAACTTTTGCATCATTCAGTGCTTCAGTGTAATTCCCTTCGAAAGATTTAATGCATAGGAAACATTTGTAACAAACAAAGACAGAGGCTAGAAGCAGCCGATGGGCCTAGTATCGTGCTTGACAGACTAGCAGCATGAACTACAATCGTGGTTACACATGACAAGAGAGAATACGCTAGCTCATTTTCTCTTGCACATGATCTGTTTAATAGTCCCCCCTCTCCCCCCGGACAATGTTGGGTGTTACAGGCCAAAAGCATTTGAAAAATCTTTTAAAGTGTATGAACTTCACCTTGTTCGGGGGGGGGGGGGATAGGAAACCTAGGCATAGCCGTATTGATAACTGTAAATTGACGGTCACTCTCCAATGTCCTACCAAAAAGGGGAGGGGTAACAGAAGTGTCCCTGTTCGCCAGAAATAGATATTTGTAAGTGAATATTAGAAAGCCCTTTTATTGCCAGTATCAACAAAGGAAGTCATGACGGAATCGTGAATTTGTTGCTCTGCTTAGGTACGTACGTGTCAACGCTCAACGGTCATGACTGCACGAAGCCTTATTTGGACTCGGTTATTCAATCCCTGTTAAGGTCGTTGGGATGCAAAAGTGATTTTAAGAAAAGCTGGTTTCCTCAAACTCACTCAGTCCAAGTTTATTGATCGCCAATATTTACGGCACTTTCGCGGTTTGAGTGATCTGCTTCTAGATCTACTCGATTTTTTCGACGAACTGACACTTGTTACCGCAGCTTGAGCTGCCAGATCTTATCACAAGTTCGATGTTTTCCTCTTTTGAGATCACTAGTTTTGTCGATTTCCTTAGCTATTCCATCGCGTTGTACAGCTTTGTACTTTAAGCAAGACACACATGCACTCTTGTAGTGAGCTCGCCAAGTGTACTAAGTTTCTACCTTCAACTTTCCTGTCTTGGATGCGTTGTAATCTTGAAGAATATCATCCACAGATTTCAGGGGCTTCACAGGGTATGTTGGGTGGGCCACGCGCTTTCCTCGTAATCTGGAAAAATATTCCATTCTTGTCCGCTCTTTGCACCCGGTTCGAACAGAGCATGCATGTACTAGATAATATCTTTCTCTAATCGTTCCAAAACAAGATTATGTACATTTAGCCCGCGCTTCGAACTGAAACTAAAAGGCTCATCAACCTAAGAAATCGATACCACGAGTTTTAATGATCTCAGGTTTTCGTGACAACTCTTTCTTTCCGAAAAAAGAGGATTTTTCGATTTTTCGAGGATTTTAACACCTCTAGAACATTCTACATTTTACATTTCTTATACGTGCGTCGAATGTGGTAAAGACGTGATGTCTTATATTTCATTTAGTAGTTAAAAAAAAAAAAAAAAGATCTAGATGAATGGCCAACTAGCAAGACAACTGACTTATGTGAATTAAGAGACTTTGTAATCAAAACTATTTTATTACTGAAAACTCGTCCGGCACTAAGCTGGGATCAGGCTCTACTTTCATTTCGCTTGGTAGATAGATTTCCGGAGAGCAAGGCGAATCGAAAAGTTGCGTATGCTGACATACCTGAATTACGTACGTATGTTGTCATCATTCTATTTGCCTAGGAAATTTACCAACCTCGTCCCAGGGTTTTCTCCTACCTGTCCCTATGGAGCACCCCTGGGAACGAATTCACCCGATAACCACAGGGACACCAGATGGACCTTAAACTCAACACCAGGACCTTCAAGGCTCACATTTCATACATATAAGTGGGTACAACAAAGGCATCCCAAGAATATGGACAAATTTTGCAACGACATCGCTTAATACTTACCCAAATATAAATGTGCTGCCGCCCTGTTGCTATGCAGTTTTGCGTTCAGTTCTTTATCCTTACAGTGCACTTTAATTCCGTCTGTGTAGTAGTCAATGGCGCTGCTGAAACTCCCCTTGTTGTACTCATCATTACCCTCATTTTTGTAAACCTCTGCAATTGCTGTAATTAAGTAACTTATGATTCTTATGGTGATTCTTTTACTTTTTAAAATAAAATTGGTCTAATATTTGCTGTTAGATGTTTTACTTCTATCTTGAGTGTTCTCATGTAAAAATTAACTGAATGAGCGCTCTACCAGTGGACATCATTGTATTTTATAATCACGTTTTCTGACGTTTGCCTCACCTCTTAAATCTTCATCATTAAACTGGAGTGTCCTATCATCTGATGTGACGTCAATTGTCTCTGAACCTCTCTCCATGAATATTGAAGACTGGTGTAAGATTTGACTTTCTTTCCGCTGCTGGTTCCTAAAACAAGAAGTGGAGGATCACGACCAGATGTTAGTAATATTATCCCTACGTATTTATCGCGGCCAATACCTGGATAACGGAGCCGGTAAGTTTAACAAATTGACGCCATTTATTTGTCTGTCTGTCTGTCCTCTTATTGATGATAGCGGAGCTCCACGCGCGCGAGAAGCGCGTGCGAGTGGGCGGAGCCCCATAGCTAACAAAATCTATCCATCCTAAAAATTTGGTAATCACGTGATCGTACACCACCCGAGCGACCGACCGTCCGTCCGCACCACAGGCATACTAATGTTAAATAACTCATTTAACATGTGTACAGAAATGGCAACCCAAATGCAACTCGAGGTTATTTTGGCGGGAAAACGAGAAAGTAGGCGGCAGTCCAGCGGCGAAGCTCATCGAGAAAAAGGGCGACAGAGATCTTGAGCGAGAGATAAAAAACAAAGGAGACATTTTTTTGTTGGGAGAACAACATGAAAACTTTGTAGCGGTGGTAAGACAATGACAAGTGCTAGAGGCCACTAATGCATGGTGAAAATGAGCGGCAGTGAAAAATAAGTGAACGATAACACGCACGACATTCCCTCCATAAAACGTGTAACTATTAAAAAAAGAAGTTACTGGAAGTTTCACGTTTTAGTAGTGCAAAACAACGGCAAAGAAATGTACAAAAACAGTGTGCTGCACGTGCAAAGTTACTTTTTTCCTAGTTAGACCTATTGGTGTTTTTCAGCGTTCTCTGGCGTTGCCTTCGCCGCTTAGCATTACACGATTTCATATTTTGTTTGAACAAACTATTAATATTATCGAGGACTTGCCTTTAGCCCCAGCTAAATCTATAAATTTTAAACTAAATAACGTATCATTGTCAAAGTGTTGTGGATCCACAAACCACTTGCGAGTGGATCCACAACAAACGTAATTTAAAAAAAGTTTGAAAAACTCAAATTGCCGGTAAAAAGAAAAGAAAACACAATAAAATTTATAACTTTTTGAAACTAGTACAATGTAATTGCCAGTAACTTTTTCTCGCTTGGTGATTGGCTAGTGAAGACAAGTAACCAAGTTCCATTGGCTAAAAAATTGGACAGGTCGAGTCACGTCACTCGCCTGCATAAATTAAGATTTTTATTGTTTTCTGGCTTAGAACAAGAATGAGATCAGCGATCAAATAGCAGACTATTTTTCCCGAAACTTCGTGAGCACAATTAAGGACAACAACAACTCGTCACATCTTAAGTTTCATCGATTTTTATTTCCATTTTCTACAAAGCAAGTCCCTGAAGTCCTCATTATGTTCTCTATATTTACTCGTTATATGAAACTAGCCTGCGATCATGCCCTCTCCCTTTATCTCTGTAATCTATTTTTCTCGAGCCAAAGCAGCAAAGAAGCAAAAAACAAAACAAACTATTATAAAATCAAAAAAAAAAACAATAACGCCTAATCTCAGGTTAACATGAAACCCGTACGTGACACAAATAGTGAGCCTGGGTTACCTGTGGTTGACCTTGTTTTGTTGACCTCCCTTTTCTGATGTAAATTTTGCTTAAAGAACATGAACAACATAATAAAGCAGGAAGGGTTGTATCAAGGCAAGGTGAACTCCAGCCTCGCTCCACCTGTAACTGAAAAATGGGCTTTTGAACTTACCAGCTACTTTCAAAGTTTCAACCTCGTCCCCATCGCTTTTATACAAAACGGTTTGTTGTGGTTTCGGAAAAAAAAATCAGAAAAAAACGCAGTACTTTTTAGAAGAAAACTACTATAATATTAATGCCTTTATTTTGAATAAAATAGACTTTCAGAATTGTTTTCTTCTTATTTTAACTTTAAAACTACGTATGTATGAATACTAAAAGATGATCCAAATCGCAGTTTTGAAGCCGTACAATTCTAGCAAGTCGTCTCTGCTTTTGGAAACTAAGGGTTTTTGTTCGGTTTCCTCTTCTTGAGGTCTTTGCTTAGAAGTAAAAAAGGATGCAAGGTTTGCATCAGAGCTGACAGAAAGTGAATCTTCTACGAAACTAAACTAAAGAAAACCATCGAAGTTTAGCATTTACTCGGCTAATGACCGCGTCTTGCCGGTCTCATAAAATTCGACTCATGTCACGTACGGCGTCGAAACTGGACCTACCTGCGACCTCCCTTATTAAACCATTTTGCTTCTCCGCCGGCTTTTTTCACTGATTTGGTAACAACAGGCCCCATTCACTAACAAGCACGACCGTATTGATCTTACCTCTGTTACCTCAGCTAGATGTTCCACATTGGTTGGATAATTATCTAGAAGTGCAGGCACATGTACGTTACGTCTTTTGAAACCGGTTCACCGGTATAAATCGTTTTTTTTTTTAACAGAAAAAAAAACTGGCAGTATCAAGCTTTTGATCTCCTGGAAACTGAAAAGCTTGCTAGAATGAACATATAAATAATTGGGGTTCCCTCTCCCTTCTGCGAGAACAAAGCCGGATGTTTATACTAATCTATCACGGAGAATTAGTACCCACAGTTGGCAAATTGAAAAGGGAAAATTCGAAGGTAGGAAATTAAACGAATTAAAAGAGGAACAAAAATCTCTGCGTCCTCGCGGAGACCGTTGAAACTGGGGATAAGAATCGTGACTACTTTCATTGTATGCAAATAAATCTTGTGATGAGCATGCGGTTTATCTTCGGAGATGATTGGCAATGTACTTTCCCCGAATCGTGGCCCTTGATTTTCGCGTAATTATGCACACGCATTAAAAAGTAAATACCCCGGGTAGGAGGACAAAATATTGAGCCATTACGTTTCTCAAAATATTGAAGCAATTACTGAAACTCTACGGTTAATGTAGTATGCATTTATTTAATTGATAGATTTTTGCAGTTGTTAAGATATGAAGTCGCATTGCACTTTATAAAACTTGAGATATCAATGATTTAACCTTCGACTACTACACTATACTGGAAGCAACTTCAACTACCCGTCTGACGTTACGTATGTGTCACGGATGTGTTTTTATGGGTAGCTTTAGTACTTTACTATCACGCACTCTACTTGCAGTGTAGCACTTCATGTCCATAGAATAGAAGTCCCATATCGAGCTTTTCCGGAACAGGCCGGTCCACGAATTCTATCGCTTGAAAGTGTTGATTACTTTAAAACAACTGATTACTTGAGTGGTCGAAAAAAGGAACAATCTTAATGTGAAAAAGAACTTCGAGGTTTACTGGAGATCTTTTATCGGGGATCGGGGATTGAGAATCCGAGATCAGGGATCGAGGATCGGTTTTTTGAAAAACTTGAACATAAAATAAATAAATCTTGGATCGTGGTGCGGATGTGGGCCGAAGACTGTTGACAAATTTCACAGAACAAAACCCCGTTCGCTGTACTGAGCACTAAATTTAAGTAAACTACTCTGAGTCTGAATGAGTCAGTGATTGTTTTGACGAGAAAGTGAAATTTCCCGGAAAATGAAACTCTTTATCCCAATGATGGAAATGATCAAGAGATAATGATGAGCTAACTCATTCGCTCTTGCTATGATAAAATGCATGCTGTGTACAGATCTAAACATTGTACTCTGAGATCGCGTAAACACCAACTGTACGGAGATATCAAATTTAGATGCTAAGCAGCTATGGAAAATGTAATTACTTTCACGCGATTTTGATATCTTATAAAACGGACTAAAAAGAAAATTGACAACAAATTCAACAGGAATATTCGCGAACTGAATTAACTGTCTCGTGTATAAGGTTCTGATAAACTTCCATATGTTTTCTCTACTAAACAAAATCTGTACCGAGCCGTATCTTCGTCCGCTACATAGAAGCTATATACATTTATACTCATAAAAACCATCGTTCAATTTTTTGAGTGTAAAATCCCTGAAAGAGTTCTCCTCACTAGAGCAATATCAATATGTAAAAGGCCGTTTCACACCGGTGTGAAGCTAAGATTTGCGGCCTGTTTCTCCTTGTAATTTTTACGTTTCGAGTACATTGACACACGTTTTGTATTCACAACGAAAAAGTAGCATAACAGCACCAGCAAACAACAAACTTCAAGCAAGCGAGACTCACCGCTATTTTAGGGGCTGTTTACATGGAGGGAGGAAGATTCTAGAAGGTGGAATAACTTTACGTTGGGTTTACATGTAGAAATTTTGGCCCGTGAGTCAGGTGAGTTGTCCAAGTAGAGAAGGTTAGAGAAGGAATTAAAAATGGCGGGCGACAAAATCAAAAATGCAATGTGGGTCCTTCTACTCTCTTTACTGGCGTAAATCACTTCCTTTCAGCTGAATTAACATAATAATCTGCTCGTGGATTGCTCTAAACAAAATGGTCGGCCTTTACTGCCGTAATTAGCCACTGAACGACCCGCCGACATTTTTGTCACGTTTGTCCCTAGTACAAGGATCTTCCTAGCGAAAGCAGTTTACATGGTGCTAAGATCTTCCTACCTCTCAGCTAGGAAGATCCTAGCGCTAGGGACAAGTACAACCCTTTGCATGTAAACTGAATACAGAAAGCATATGGCGCTAGGATGATCCACCCTCTAGGATCTTCCTGGTACTAGGATCTTCTTCCCTCCATGTAAACAGCTCCTTTGTTTCCAGAATTTTCAGGAAGCCTTCGGCCAGACTTTTTTCAGTCAAACGACTGCAACTATTTACATGTCAGGACGAGGGATCCATTTTTTAGTTTCCTGTTCTCTGGCTGTTCTGTTATGTTTCCTATTTCTCGCTAAAACGGAGTCTCGCTGGAAATTTTAAACACTATTTTTGAACAAAGAGCGATGTTTTGATAATGTAAAAATCATGTTCTGAAAAGTGTTTTGAATAGACATTTTCACGGCCTATGACGCCATCTTGGCTAGGGGGCAAACGTGGCTAAAATTAGGGTTTTAGTGAATGTCTGGCATTTTGGCCCACTTGAACCGATATAACGCCGCTACA